ATCAGCTAATTATCCTACAGTTTCAATTAACCGAACAACAGTCCTATAGATGAAAACAGGTATAAAGAAACTGGTACCTGGAGTTCAGATAAAAGTATGCCTTCATTACGAACCCTCTGATAATTTTACCTGATGGTGACCCGATACCAGGTTCAAAACGTTGTAATCGTTAAAACCAGAACTTGTTTACTGCATCGTTTAATTAAGTCTGGATTTTGTTTCTTGACTTTAATGTTTCAGTTTCTTTTCAAGCTAACCTTCCGATATTATGTACGTTAAAGGCCTAATTAATATCGATCAACCTTTTTTTTTTTTTCAACTGTTGTAATTAATATCACCCTGGACCTTTTTTTTGAGCCACCTATCTCCAATACAGGGGAGGCAACACCCATTTTGACACCCGTCTAAATTTCGATAGGTTTACGGTTCTCCAACTTGAATTGTGTTTTTCATCTAAATTCGAAAATAACTACTCGTCATAAACAGACAAAGATTCTGAAATTAGTTTCGTAGCTGGAGACCAAAAAAAAATCCGAAAATAAAATAAAATAAAATAGTATAAGGTTCTCATTAAACTGTTCATTTTCACATTGATTTCGCTCGCTCCCCCCCCCCCCCCTCCACCGAGTTCCATCATAGTAAGCCTAGTTTCCGATGACTTTTGACATCCTTGATCCGCATTGAACTTTGACCTACATTTGCTTCCTATGTTTATGCTGAGTAAGTAACATAATTTTAGGGTTACGTTGTCCGGCGTGATTATCCTACAGTTTCAATTAACCTCACAACAATTCTATAAATGAAAACAACTTTAACAAAACTGACACTAGAGGTCAGATAAGACTGTGTAACACCTGCCCTCATCACGATGTTGTAAAAGTTGTGGATCTGGTGCAGTTTTACTGACAGTGGAAAGAACTATAAAACATCGCGTAGACTTATATAACCTGATCACTTACATTATATAATTACTTTCGTGCTTCTAATGTTTTCCAAGTATTACAAACTGATAACTTTTTAACCAATCCGGTTCTCTGGTTATTTCTATTACATTACGTCACTACTTAGGCTTACGCATGTTCTCTCCAAGCATTTTTCATTGCTTACCTTTGTTTTAAAACTATTTTTGTGTTGTTAATGTAAAAATCATTCTTAGATTCGGTCTCAAAATAATAAAATAACTCTCTGACAGAATTTTTCAGTTGGAACTCTGAATGTAAATGTTGCAAATAAAGAACAGTTGTTTCATTCAGCCCTCGTGTTTCACTAAATAATGTTTCACTATTATTCATTCAGCCCTCGTCTCTCTGTTTGTGTGCAGTGAATATTGTAATGAAATTTAACCATTCCGTAACTCACAAAAGTTATTTTAGATACAGTTAGTTTGTTTGTTTTGTTTTGAATTTCGCGCAAAGCTACACGAGAGCTATCCCTAATTTAGCAGTGAAAGACTAGAGAGAAAGCAGTTAGTCATCAACACCCACCGCCAACTCTTGGGCTACTCTTTTACCAACGAATAGTGAGACTGGCAGGTAACATTACAACACCCCCACGGCTGAAATGGTGAGCATGTTTGATGGGACGCGGATTCGAACCCGTGACCCTCTGATTGCGAATCGAGCACCCTAACCACCAGACCGGCATGTTTCTTATTTTCCTTACTAGAGTCAATAGCTTAGGTAACGTGTATGATTTCCTATTTAAGTGACGTATATATATTCAGCAGTGTAACGTTCTTATATCCAGTGTCAAGTTGAAGGGATTGTTTAGGCTCAAATCTCTATACGATATATATATATGTCTTTCAGTCGAAATTTATTTATTAATAATGAAGTTTTATTTTAAATTTTGAACAAACTATCTTTCCTTACGATTTCTTTGACCAATTGTCTTTCTTTCCAACTTAAGTTATCAACGTTTATCAGCGCCCCTGGCCATGTCGGGTTTTAGATAAAAATTGGACGGAAGAAAAAGCGCGGTCATTACTACGTGGAGCAAAAGCTATGTGTTCATTCGCGCTTTATCTACTGGTAAAAATATGGGATTCGATTCCCTGTGTTGGAATGAGTGCAGATAGCTTATAGTGTAAAAACAAAAAACCAAAAATGGGAAAAACAAATCATACCACGTTGTATAAATTTTTCCATTTTTTTTCGACTTTTTCGTACCATAGCAGGTTTTAAGCCATTAGTGTAGCTTTATACGGTCATGGCCAAAATGTTTTCATATTTTGTAACAA